GGACTTCTCTGGTTCCCTCTGGGTGGCCATTAGTTTGTTTTGGAACCCCTACTAATAAATCTTCGCTACCTCTACAAAAACGGTGACTTTGTGCCCATCGGACTAATGAAAAATAATGCAGCAGCAAGTGTCTTACTTAATAGACCCAAGCTCCTCAAAGACTATTCTCAGTGCTTTGTAGCTGTTAACTTGGTCAATCCTTGGCAAAACCCTTGGAGGTGGGTGTGTTATTTTTGTCAGCCCCATTCTGCAGATTAAGAAACGGAGGCACGGAAAGATTAAGTGACTTGCCCAAGGTCACGCAGCTCACAAGTGGGCGGGCTGAGATTTGAACCCTGGGGGAGTTGAAGGATGAAGGTATAAGCTCCTGCCTCCCTGTCCCTTTGTCGCTGGCCATCCATCTTCAGGCTTACGTGCTGTGACGCGGCAGGGGGCACATTCTTGGAAGTGGTCTTGCAGGTTAAGAAAGTACACTTATTTTTTTTAAGATTTAATTAATTTGTGACTGAGAGAGATACCAAGAGAGGGAACACAACCATGGAGGAGCTGGAGAGGGAGAAGCAGGCTCCCTGCTAAGCATGGAGTCCAATATGGGGTTCGATCCCAGCACCCTGGGATCATGACCCGAGCCAAAGGCAGATGCTTAACAATTGAGCCACCCAAGTGCCCCAAGAAAGTACATTTAAATTCTGCTGTTGCTTGAGGGACCAGAAGCTGGCCAGGGAGTGTCCTGTGCATCCCTGGCTGAGGGAACGTGACCCCCACCCTCACGCCACCCCCCAGCCAGTGAAGCAGCTGCAGCTGGTCAGAACCCAAGAGGCTGGAGCCCACACTGGGTTCTTTGTCTTCGGTGGGAATCCTGCAGCCCACACAGCCCCTCTTAAGGACCCACTGTCCCAGCACCAGCAGGGCCTCCCCGGGGCCAGGCCCGGCTGGGAAACTTGGCACATTGGAGACTACTTGGCTTTGGTGCCAAGTGGACATGCAGAGTCCACTCAGGAGTCATTCCCGCTGAAAAGACAGACTGACGAGGCTGACGGCCATGTCCAAGGGGGTGCAGCAGCCTGGAGAGGTCTGGGGCCTTGGGTCCCAGTCCTGGCACTGTGTAGACCCCACCAGCTCCTGGTCTCCCATTTCCCCCCCCAATCTCTGGGCACCCATGTGCTGCTCTCACTTAGGAAGGGAACACTTCCCCTTCCTCAGGCCAGCCTGCCGGCGCCTAGGCCTTGCCCCTTGGGGGGCTTCCTGGATTGCCCTGTGAGGAGTGGACTTCCTCCACTGGCCTGGCCGGGTCCTCCACCCAGGCATCTGAGGCCCTGCTCAAAGCAGAAAGGCAGGAGCGCCTGCCAAGAGGGAGCCAGACGACCTTCTAAACACCAAACCGAGGGGATAGTTCTAGGCCCAAGGCAATCTCGCCAGCCCTGCCCGGCCTTCAAACAAGGGGCGCTCTTGACGGCTCCTTAACCCATCAGAGTATGTGGAGAGAAGGGGTCCGGGGTAGGGAGGGGAGGGAAGTGGTGGGGAGGAGAGGAGGGGAGGGGAGGGGCGGGGAGGGGAGCTGGGGGCCGACCCTCCAAGAGAGAAGCAATTGCTATGAACCAAGGTCAGTTTCTTTGTGTCTGAAATGGGGAGACCTGCACACCACGTCCCCCTGCCCACGTGAGACAAACTGTGAAGGTCGGTACCCAGACCAGTCATTTCCCAGGGGAAGCTGGGGCTGATAGCCCTGGCCCAGGGCCCAGGTGGAACAGGTCCTGAAAGGCTTCTGAAGAATTCCTGCCAGCCTGTCGCCCTGCCCTCTTGTTGTACCCTTGGTCGTTCTCCCCTCCCCCTACCTCTGTTCTCCCTGCACTCCCTTAGTCAGAAAACCCCACAGAAAACCTCAAGGCTCTGAGGGCTGCCCTGAGGTAATCCCTTCTTCTTTGGGGGCCAGAGGGGGCTTTCTGGAAGGGGTGGGCGAGTCTAGGGGGCCGGACCAATGAATGTCCTGTGTCTGAGGACCCATCTTCAGTTGGGGCCAGGAGCGACAGCTCCCTGCAGGGTGGGGCGCTGGGCAGAGAGCTCTGAGCGAGCAGCGTGCAGAGGAGGCGGTCCCCGTGTTTGCTGAGTGAATGAGCGACCTGCTCTGGGACTCAGAGCCCAGATCCTGCGCAGAAGGTTGCGGAGGGCTGGAACCTAGTGGGGCATCTTCATCCCCTTTGCTCCTCCTCCTCACCAGCCAGTGGGGGGGGGGCACCTAGGAGAGAGGGATGAGAGTGGGCAGTAGAAGGGCACTCTAGAGACTGTGCCCCTTCCTTCACCATTTGCCCGAAAAGCAGAGCTTTTGACTTACAGCGCGAGATTCACGCAGCAGCCATTTATCGAGTGCCTACTGTGTATCTGGCCTGGGCTGAGCACTCTGCAAGAATGAATGAACAACTTCCAGCACCACAGGGGCGTGTGTGTGTGTGTGTGTGTGTGTGTGTGTGTGTGTTGGCGGGAGGGGGGGGGCGGAGTTCCATTTTGCAAATGAGAATGTTGAGGCACAGGGAGGGCAAGGACTTGCCCACAGTGCAGACCATTTTGACCCTGGTTTCCAAGTTCTTGACTCCGCCCGCTGCGAGTTTCCCCCTCCTCGTGGCTCCGGGCGGGAGTGGGAAGGGGGTGGGGGGTGGGGGAGATCCGCCGGCACCGCCCAACGGCTCGGGGGAGGGGGAAGTGGCACTGGGTGTAGTCTGCAGAAGAGGGTCTGTAGCCCCGTGCGCCCCTGGTCGGGGGTGGAGGATAGCTGTTGGCCAGCACCCGGTGTGCCCCGCATCCCCCCTGCCCCTCTCCGAGGTCCCGGCTCGGAAAGTCCCGCGAAGCCCCCGCCCCCGGCCCGCGGGCGGCGCGAACAAGCGGCCCTTTCTGCGCGCGGCGGCCCCGGCAGCTGGCCCGCGGCCCGCGGGGGCGCGGACAATCCCGGGGCTTGTGGCCGGGGCGGGGCGGCCCGAGTTGCCAAGGTGACCCGGGCGCGGGGAAGGCTGCCCCGGCGCGGCGCGGGCGGCGGGGCTGCCGGGCGGCGGCGGCACCATGAGCGGCCGGAAGCGCAGCTTCACCTTCGGGGCCTACGGCGGGTAGGTGCGCCGGGCGGGGGCGCCTGTGTGCGCGCGGAGGCCCCCGGGGTGGGCGGGCCGGGGGCGGGGGGCGCCGCACTTGGGAGTCTGGGTTTGCGTGTGAGGGGAGCGCTTCGGGGGTGAGTCCGCGTGTGCGCGCCTGTGGGTCCCGGCCGGCTGCCCGCGGACAGCCGTGGGCGCGCGAGGGCTCGGTGGGCTGCTCCGTGCGTGACAGCGCCTCTGCACAGGGCTGGGGTGCGGAGCCGGTGGGTGCGCGCCCCAGGGTCGGGGCGCGGCCCTGCAGGAGCCTCTACTTGGCCTTTGAAGTTGCTGGGCCCCTTCAGTGAGGCTTCGGAAGGAGAGAACCTAGAAGCCATCAGCAGGCCCATGCTTACGTTTCCCTGCCCGGCCCCCAACTCCGCGGCACCTGAGCTGCCCCCTTTCTGGGGCCACCTGGCTCTCAGAAACCTCCTCCTCCCGGGGCTGCTGGCTGCCGGGGCTCGGAGACCTAGGGCCCTGGAGGCAGAGTGGTGACTGGTCCCTCTTGGGGTCACCGTCCCTCCTGACCCCAAGTGTCCACCTCCGAGGAGTGCAGAGTAGGGCTGGGGAGATTCTTGCCTTAGGCAGAGACTTGGTAAATTGGAAGGAAGACCAGGTGCAGAGACTGGGGCCGGAGCCCCTTCCCTGGCCAGGCAGTTGGATGACCTCCCACCAGGCCCTGCCTCCTTGTCGGGGAGACACACACAGGACCCTCCTTGGGGAGCAGAGCAGTTGGAGCTCACAGGTGTAATGCTGCGGGGGCAGGGCAGGTGCTCTGGGAGCTGTGGGGGTGGTGTCCGAGTCGGCAGCCCTCACTAAATGCCCAGCCTCACCAGGGACCCTGGCAGAGGGGTTGTGGGGGTGGTGGGAGACAGGATTCCCTCCTCATCTGGGGCCCTGCTAGCCTCCAGGCGATGAAAAGAGGCTGGGGAAGTCCCAGGACTCCTGGGCACTGACATGGAGAGGCAGGCCAGGAAGTGTGGCTGGGGTCCGTGGTGGGAGCTGGGACAAGCCCTGACCTCTCAGGCCTCCCTCTCCTTGTCTGCAGAGTCCACATGAGCTGACCCCTAGGAAGACCCCAGCCCTGCCTCACCCTCTGGCAGAGTCTGGTTTGGTCCCCCTTCCCCATTCTCCTCTGGCCTCTGGGCAGGAGGCAAGAGTTGTTTGTTGTCCCAACAGCTGCCCAGTCTCTTGGCCCCCAGCTGGGCAGGAGGGTGGAACTCACCCCAGCCCTCCCCAACCTCAAGGTGCCCTCAGAGGGCAACATCCACACCCTCTTTGTGACGTCTCGGACTTGGAGGGATTTGGGGAAAACAAAGTCTGCGGGTAGCCCCTGAGCACTGGGGCTCCTGTTCTTCCTCTGGCTGTGCGATGAGGCTGGGTAGGGAGTCTGTGTGTGCTGGGGGTGAGGTGGGAGAGGAGGGTAGATACGAGTGAGCTCTAGCTCTGGGATGGAGGCAGGCCGCCAAGAAAGCGGAGGGATGGTTCTTCCTGCCCCCCATAAACCATAAACACCCACATCCTTCAATCCTGCCTGGAATTCCAATCTTGTCCCACTCCACCTGTTCCCAAAACCCCGTCTCGGCCACCAGCCCCTAGTCTGGTCCTGGGCCCCTGCTTCCCTACCCCTGTGCCCCCAATCCCGCCGTTTCCCTTTACTTTTCCACCCCACACCTTCCCATGTCCCTAACAGGACACTGCAGAGACCTAACCAGGTCTCTGCAGCCTTTGGGGGATTGTGACAGTGCATCGGCACCCAAGAAACAATATCTCCTCCAGGCCCCACAGGCAGGGTGCTGGGTGAGTTGGGGTTGGCCTGATGTGCTAGGCAGGGCTGGGTGAGAAGGGGCTGCCCCCTCATCTGCTGCCCCTCTTGCTGTGTTTCAGAGTGGACAAATCCTTCACCCCTCGCCGAAGTGTGTGGTGAGTACTGGGACCTCTCAGGAGGGGTTGGGCTGCTTGGCTGAATCTTGGGAACGCTCCAAAACCAGTCCCCCCACCCTACAATGACACACCAGACCCCACCAGCCCTGCGGCCACCCTCTCCAGGTGATGCAGGGGGCAGACCTTACCAGTTCTTCCCCCAGCTGGTTTGCCCTCCAGTTCTCTCTTGATCTCCAACTCGGAGTCATGAAAATCAGGTTAAATCTTAGTTCTGCCTAGCACCTGTGTGACCTCAGTGATTCACTAACCTCTCTGATCTTCCGTGTTCTCATCTGTGAAATGGGGATTAAAATGGCCATTTAACAGAGTGTAAAATTGTAAAACAAACAAACAAAACACCTAAAAAACAAAAATAAGGCCTGACATACTGTAGGCCCTCACTGAAAGTACTTTCTTCCCTCTCTTCCTACCTCATGGCCTCTTGGGGGCTGAGAGTGCCCTTGACCCCAAATCCTCTAGTTCCGTCCCATACATAGCCTTCACAACCCCCTCCTGCAGCCTGTTGCCCCAGTCTGAGGCTGCCCTCTCTTTGGAGGAAGAGGGGGCAGCTGTGTCTGCAGCTTCCCCAACAGCGAGAGCAGTGGGTGGAGGTGCGGCCTCGCCTCGGGATCCACAGCACCCCCGAAGCCCAGCAGGCAGGTGCTTCCCAGCTTCCCCAGCCCCAACAGCACATGGGCCCAGCTGGCTGCTCCCGTTACCACTTCAACTCCAGCGGGAGAGCTCTCGCTTCCTGCCCCTGCTGGGGGCTTCCCAGGGTCCCCAGGCCCTGCAGTGTGCCCCCCCCCACAGCTACTAGACCACTCCTGTCTGGCACCATTGTCCCACCTGCTGCTGAGTCCCCCCAGGAAGCCACACTGGGGTGGGAGGCACCCAGGTGCCCAGGCTGAGGTCCAGGACCTGCCCTTTTATCTTCCTTTGATGCTCTCTGTGCAGCCTAGGACCAGTCACTCCCCCTCTCTGGGCTTTATCTCCCACTGCTGTGCCCAGTTGATTTGAGCCTCCAGTAGTGCAGGATCATATGCTAAGCCCAGGGCAGGGACAGGGTGAGGGGAGATAGAGGTGAAGTGAGGAAGACGCCATCCTTTTCTTCAAGGACTTCATTAATAGTGTTTTAGCAACAGCCACTTGTCAAGGACCTGCTGTGTACCCGGGTACTGTTAGGTGCGTGAACTGTATCATCTCACATAGTCTTTACCACATCCCGGAGTTAGGAACTGTTATCTCTAATTACAGATGAGAACAGTGATGCACAGAGTGGAGGAAGTGACTTGTCCAAGGTCACACAGCTATTCGGGGGCAGAGCTGGGATTTGAATCTTAATCTTCAGACCCTGCAGAGCCCAGAGTCTCATGCATTCTGTGACAGGGCCTCCAGACCACACGGTGGGTCTAAGCCCTTGAGAGAGGTCTTGAAGATGGAGAGGAGACTCAGAACTCCTCTAGGGAGCCCTGAACAAAGCATCAGAGGTGAGGGCCCAGGACTGATGGTAAGTGACTAGCTGTGTGACTTTGGGCAAACCTCTTCCCCTCTCTGGGCCACAGTTGACAAACTTCTGAAATAGGATTTTGGAATCATGAGGATTTGGGCAGTCCCGGAAGTGCCTTGCCCCACACCCTCCTCCCTGGAGATGCTGTCCAAGGTGCTAACGTCTAAGGCCCTCCCTTCTAAGCGGATTGCTTAGCTTCCAGCCTGTGCCTGGCATATAGTTACTGCTCTGTAAATAGGGGTCATTTTGATGATGAATTATGACTTTCTGGCTAGTCTGGGACTCACTTCTCTTGTGATCTGCATTTCTGATCAGTGGGAACATAGCCCCTGAGAGCACCATCTCCGTACCTTTGCTCACATTTTCCCATCCCCTTGACATGTCCTCTCCTCCCATTCCCACAAGCCCTCACCACACCTGCAGCCCTCCAGCCCACCTTTATCACTGTGCGTTGAGTGTTTTCTTTCCAGATCCCCACGTTTTTTCTCTCCTTAGAGTACCTCCCTCTGCTTATCATGCCTGTAGAGCCCACATGCATGCTCATTTCTGGAGTAACGGAAAGAGGTGGCCTTCAGAGTCTTGACAGGTGTGGACTGGAATCTGCCTCTGCCGCATGTTCATGGTATGACTTTGGGCAGGTCGCTTCCCCTCTCTGAGCCCCACTTGCTGCTCAGTTAAGTGTGGAATTGGATCGCTCAGTGAGTTGAATGTGTCGGTCTAATGCTGTGGTACAAGGCAGGCTCTGAGGTCCTTGAAAGCAGGGGTTCCTTGAGTTATTTTTGACTTGGGCCCATTTTCTAGCATGAGTCACCAAAAAGCTGGGCTCTCTTCTTCTCATGTCTCTTTCCTCCACACAGTCTTACACAGCTGCCCAAACCCAGGAAATTCTTAATAGATGTCAGTGGAGTTGAATTAAATGTGTCCAGTGCGGAACACTTGAAACTTTGTCAAGTAGGCTGGGAGAACTTCCTGGAAGAGATGTGGCTTCCTCCACCCCCTTTAAAAAAAGGATGAAGAAGTTGGGGCTTAGCTCAGGGAGCAGCGAGGCCTGATATAGGCCAGATGTGATCATGGCTGGATTCCCCTACCCCCTGCTCCTCACCAGCAGGTTATCTGCAGTGGAGAAGCTCAGAACAGGTGTGAAGAAAGGATGAGGCCCAGCATGAAGATTAGGAGCCAGTGGGATAGGGGGTAACTGTGGTTCTGTGACCTAACGGGGATTGGAGATTGAAGGTGGATTAAGATGGTGGGGCGAGGAAAGAGGCGGAGAGGTGTCAGGGTTGGGAGATGGCTAAGTAGAGTTGTGCAAGGGAAGGGTTCTGGAAGAGGACCTTAAGGCTAGGAGTTGGGGGGGCAGGCAGGACCCAAGCAAGAACTACCTGCCAACAACATGTCAGACACTGTCTCAGGTGGTCTCGGTTGTGATGACAGTATTGCAGATTGGCCTTAGTTTCCCCATTTTGGAGGCCAAAACCAAGACTGAGAACTAGTGAGGGCTGGGTTTGAATCCAGCCTTTTCTCCTGCCCAGGGAGGGGCCTTGGCCAGATGAGGAAGCCAAAGAAATGAGGGACGTTCTGATTATGAGGTGAGGGAGGAGAGGAGAATGCAATGACCCTGAGCACCCCCAGAGCAGGGGTCACTGCCCAGCCTCATGTGTCCCCCCGGGAAGGGCCATCTGGTCGCCTGGATATCTCCTGTTGGCAGTGATGGTACCGGTTGCTCCCACATATGACGCTTTTCCTGGGTCTCGGACCCTGGGCCAAGCACTTCAGCTTAATTATCTCATTCCCTCCTTGTGCCAGCTTTACGCAGCAGAGACTGTGAGAGACGATTCCCATCATTTCCCCATTTTACAGATGAGGAACCTGAGGCTCAGGGAGGGGCTGGAGCCAGCCCAGGCACACAGCGAGTGATGAACCCAGACCGGCAGTGAGGTCAGCCTGGCCCCGTAGCTACAGCCCTTGCTCTCTTGGATGCTATATGTGCTGAGTGTGAGGTCGGGGTGGGTGGTCCCTGTCCTCAGGTGGCTCCTCTCTGTAAACTCTGAGCTGGAAGCCTGGGGGCCCTGTGTGCTGCTGCAGGAAGCATGAGGCCGGCCTCATTAGTGGCTCTGAAATGCCAGGCAGGCACAGCCCGCCGGGCCTCCTCATCTATTATGCATCTGGTGGGCAGGCCCCCGGCGGGCAGCTGGCAGAGCACACGGGGAGCCAGCAGCTGCTTCCTGAGCCCACACCTGCCACCATACCTCTGGGCAGGGATTCCCTCAAGGCATGCCAAGACATCTCCTGCCTCATCCCCCCTGGCCCAACTTGGGTAAGGGAGTACCACTGGGGACAGAGGCGTGGATGCTGATGACCCTCTTGTTAGCCTGTCCAGCCCAGCAGCCACTTCTGAATGAGGCTGGGACCTCGACTGCGCTGGGGGTCACTTGGGGCTAGGGTGGGCAGGGGCAGGCTGCAACAGGGTCTTCCGGGCCCAGGCTCCTGGCTGCACAGAACCTCAGAGCGATGAAGTTGTGGTCATTTATTCATTCAGCCACAAAAAAACTAGCAAGTGACTTCTGTATGCCAGGCACATTTCTAGGGACAGCAGGAAATGAGACAGGCCCAGTCCTGGTCTTCAGAGAGCTTGGTGCGGCCAGAAAGTCACCTCTTGGAGCCTCAATTTCCTTGTCCATAAAACGGGGACTAGAGGAGACAGTCTATAAATAGGTAAGAAATGAACCATGATGGTTGTGCTGAATTTTAAGGAATATATATATATATATATATATATATATATATATATATATATAGTTAAAGATTTTATTTTATTTATTTGACAGAGAGATAGCAAGAGAGGGAACACAAGCAGAGACAGACGGAGAGGGAGAAGCAGGCTTCCCTTTGAGCAGGGAGCCTGATGTGGGGTTGGATCCCAGGTCCCTGGGATCATGACCTGAGCTGAAGACAGATGCTTGATGACTGAGTCACCCAAGTGCCCCTAAGGATTTTATATTTAGCAACCTCCACAGCCAGCATGGGGCTTGAACCCATAGCCCTGAGATCAAGAGTCGCATGTCCACCGACTGAGCCAGCCAGGTGTCCCCAGCTGTGCTGAATTTTATTTTATTTTTATTTTTTTTAAGATTTTATTTGTTTATTTGACAGAGAGAGATCACAAGTAGGCAGAGAGGCAGGCAGAGAGAAAGAGGGGGAAGCAGGTTCCCTGCCCGATGTGGGACTCGATCCCAGGACCCCTAGACCACGACCCAGGCCGAAGGCAGAGGCCCAACCCACTGAGCCACCCAGGTGCTCTGTGCTGAATTTTAAAGCAAGGGTTCATGCTACCAAGAGCTGATCCTTAGCTAAATCTTACTGCGTGCCGGGCTGTGTTCCAAAACACTTTTCATGGATTGATGGATTTAATCTTCACAACGGGCCCATGAGGGAGCTACTGTTATTACCCCCCGTTTAGGGCCGAGGAAACTGAAGCAGCAGGGGGGTCAAGCAG